ATGCGTGTCTATGATCAAGCGGGTTGAACTTCACGATATAACCAAAGCCAGTAGTTAGTGTGTACCTTGATCTATGTTGAATTTCACAATAATTTATACATATCCCGGAAATAGGCCCAAGTCAGGGAGAATTATGCGTGTCTATGATCAAGCGGGTTGAACTTCAAGATATAACCAAAGCCAGTAGTTAGTGTGTACCTTGATCTATGTTGAATTTCACAATATTCATATCCCGGAAACTGGCCCAAGTCAGGGAGAGAATTATGCGTGTCTATGATCAAGCGGGTTGAACTTCACGATATAACCAAAGCCAGTAGTTAGTGTGTACCTTGATCTATGTTGAACTTCACAATAATTTATTCATATCCCGGAAATAGGCCCAAGTCAGGGAGAATTATGCGTGTCTATGATCAAGCGGGTTGAACTTCAAGATATAACCAAAGCCAGTAGTTAGTGTGTACCTTGATCTATGTTGAATTTCACAATATTCATATCCCGGAAACTGGCCCAAGTCAGGGAGAATTATGCGTGTCTATGATCAAGCGGGTTGAACTTCACGATATAACCAAAGCCAGTAGTTAGTGTGTACCTTGATCTATGTTGAACTTCACAATAATTTATTCATATCCCGGAAATAGGCCCAAGTCAGGGAGAATTATGCGTGTCTATGATCAAGCGGGTTGAACTTCACGATATAACCAAAGCCAGTAGTTAGTGTGTACCTTGATCTATGTTGAATTTCACAATAATTTATTCATATCCCGGAAATAGGCCCAAGTCAGGGAGAATTATGCGTGTCTATGATCAAGCGGGTTGAACTTCACGATATAACCAAAGCCAGTAGTTAGTGTGTACCTTGATCTATGTTGAACTTCACAATAATTTATTCATATCCCGGAAATAGGCCCAAGTCAGGGAGAATTATGCGTGTCTATGATCAAGCGGGTTGAACTTCACGATATAACCAAAGCCAGTAGTTAGTGTGTACCTTGATCTATGTTGAATTTCACAATAATTTATTCATATCCCGGAAATAGGCCCAAGTCAGGGAGAATTATGCGTGTCTATGATCAAGCGGGTTGAACTTCACGATATAACCAAAGCCAGTAGTTAGTGTGTACCTTGATCTATGTTGAATTTCTCAATAATTTATTCATATCCCGGAAATAGGCCCAAGTCAGGGAGAATTATGTGTATCTATGAACAAGCGGGTTGAATTCCACGATATAACATATCACGGAAAAAAGCGTAAGACATGCGTAATTATGCGTATCTATGATCAAGCGGGTTGAACTTCATGACATAACACACTCACACAACGAAAACCCGGTAGGTAGTGCGTACTGGACATTGATAACGTCATGTTGTACCGTGCGGCAGTGACCAGTGAAGACCCGGGTTAGAATTGGTCTTCAGCAACCCATGCTTGTAGTAAGAGACGACTAACGGGATCGGGTGGTCATGCTCGCTGACTTGGTTGACACATGTCATCCTATCCCAACTGCGCAGATCGATGCTCATGCTGTTGATCACTGGATTGTCTGGTCCAGACTCGATTATTTACGGACTGTCGCCATATAGCTGGAATATTGCTGAGTGCGGCGTAAAACAATGAACCAACCAACCAACTCTGCGGTAGTAATTTAAGGTTCTCGTGATCCTCATAATTTGCACTGGGCCGGATATTTTGATGAGTCAGCAAATTTGCCCAATCGTTTAAGATATTGCATACCATAACTGATAAGATATATACACGTGTATCAAATGACTCCCCGTTTATCCACTGGCATTGCCTCCAGTGATATTGTACAGATTATCAATTGTCTGGATAAGCAAATAATGGACATAGATATTTAACTCGCGTTACAATATTTATTAATATGGATATTGACAGATGACCAGGAAGCAAGGCATACGGGACATGATTTCTGAATTAATGAACGAGACCCTCACAATATGCGAGTCTTGTCGTGTTTTGCTGGCAAATTATATGATAATTATAAGCAATGTCCTCAAAAAGAATCTTAAATCAGATGTAATGTCTTTCTTTCAAATTTGTTGAGGAAATTAAAACTTTTTAAAAAAATAACCTCGTTTTTCAAGGTAGTGGGCGAGTTAGTTTTAGGCTGTTTTAGTAATATTCCAGTAATATCACGGCGGGGGACAACATAAATGGCCTTCACTCAGTATACCGATTTGGGGAATCGAACCCGAGCCTTCAGCGAGACAAGAGAACGCTTCAACCACTAGGCTACCCCACCGCCCTTTTTCATGGTACAAACAATGTCTCGTTAATTACACGCAGTTGTAAAGTATGTATAGATTCGTGAATCAACTCTGAAATCTCGCTTAGTGGAGTTCCGCTAATCTTTGTAAACAAGAGAGAATGTATGCAGTGATCTGAGAATGTAATATACATGGAAATGAAAATAAGGAAGAGAGTTTTATGATGTCAACTTCTTTATTATGAGGAACACAACGGTTGGTTTATATCCTTACTCCTTCATCAAGTGAATGAATGATATGAGGCAGAGAGCACAGAGTCGTGCAAAAAAGTATTCGGACACTTGACGTAATTTCCATAGACTTACATGTCAATTTAGTGTAGCACAAATAATTTTCATGAATTTAATTTTCGTAAGATCCAAGTCAAATTTTTGCACATTTGTGAGGAATCATCTTACCTACAATCACATAATTTCTGTTTAATTTTCCGTTGCTTACTTATCGAATGGCAACAGTTTATTAATCAACATGTGTACAATGCCGTGAACTTTAACATGGCGGCCTATGGGATTGTGCATTGTGGAACCATACGTAAGTTGATAAATGTGATGTCATTAGTTAAATAGTGGTCGGAAAATTGAACTGAGATTATTTGCGCAGAGCAGAGATATTTTCATATTGCATGTAAGAACAACAAAAGTGAAAAGACTGGAACATAGCGTCATATTACACCATCCACTCTCCTAATTGTCATATCCGTTCTTTCACAAAAACAATCTTACAATATACATTAAATTGGGTGAATAAAAAATAAGTTTGCAAGCGATGTGAGCGAATGCTTTGACCACTTGGTTATGCCTAACCGCACCTGGGTCACCAGTCTGTCTCACACTCCCTGAACCACATTATTTCCCCTACTACCTAGCCATTCTTGTCATGCTAAAGCCTAAATAAAGCAAGTATAGATTCCCATCTGACTGGGGCTCCTGTTCAATTTAAATGGATTTATTTGTTTCTATCAAAATTATATATATATATTCAGAGACTAAGCGTTAGCCTACTGGGCCACTTGTAAACTAACGCTTAGTCTCTGAATATATATATATATATATATAATTTGATTGTAACAAACAAACCCATGTTTATTGAAAAGGAGCCCCCGGGAGACCAGAGATTCAGAAGCTGAGGAAATCTAGACTTGCTTCATGTAGGGCTGTAGCATTGCAGGGAGGGCTAGGCTGTCGGAAAAATAATGTGGTTCAGGGACTGTGAGACTGACTAGGCCACTTTCACAAAGCGATCTTAAGTTATGCTAGAGTATCAGAATTGCGACCCATGATATACTGTGTGACGTGCGCTCTCACACATCACCGCTGGATCCCACTCGGCGTAAATCTTCTCAGGAATGGTCGTTCCGGTTGTCTGTGCCCTCCCGTACAACACGGAACATGGACATACGTTAGAATGTATTGTCACATACGTGTGTACATTATAGACATACGTATACTGAAAGCATAGTCAAGCATGTACTACCGTGGAGGGACTATTGACTCATATACCACGGACGATGGGCCTGGGAACGGTTAACTTGAATGGCGATTTTACTCGCCCGACCCGAAGAGTAAAGGAATGATTGGGAGAGAAGGGGAAAGAGTGAAGGACAGAGAGACCTTAGTAAAATAAACGTAGTTTTATCTACATAACTTAAGTTTTCGACGCACACACGCGGATATTGATTATATAGAGATGCCGTGTGTGTGCGTGCGTGCGTGCGTGCGTGCGTGCGTGTGTGTGTAAATAAGTGATTTCTGCAGGTGTATAAGCCATAAATATATAAAAGATGAGTCCAGATATTTATTCTTGCCAAAACTCCTTCATATCACGATATCATATATATATATATATATATATATATATATATGTGTGTGGGGGGGGGTGTGGGGTGTGGAGAGAGAGAGAGAGAGAGAGAGAGAGAGAGAGAGAGAGAGAGAGAGAGAGAGAGAGAGAGAGAGAGAGAGAGAGAGACTTTGAAAATGCACTATCGGAGCGGATCCAAAGGAGGGGGTTGCGGCACCCCGCCCCCTCTCCCCCGAAAAACATTCCATGAGAAGCATATTTCCCCCTATCCTTTGGTCTTTATAATTTATGTGCACCCCCACTCCTCAAAAATGCTGGAACCGCCCCTGACTATGTTAACATGACATGTACCTATCGTTAAAATCATATCCTAATTCAAAAATGCGGTTCCACATGAGATATGAGATAAAGAGTATTATCGCTGCACCTACAGGTGTTATGTGTCATATGATGTTAGTTCAAGGAATGGGAGTATAGTTATTAAACAAACGTATTACTTGGGGTTTAAAGTCTGCGTTTTGTGTAAAACCGTAAACTTGTGAATCGTTACCATCAAATACCTCAATATATTTCAGATCGTCGCCGTCAAATACCTCAATATATATCACAGAAACTAGGCTAAACATCGCCACTGTGAGCGTGGCGTGTCAACATGTGCTGCTATTGACAAGGCCGACTATCAACCGACGCGGAAGTAACATTGTCAACGGTGTATATACATAACATGTACTCAAACCAATATGAAATCGACTTACCTTGATATCTTGAGGAATCATAACTTAAATAGCCAAAATATTGCACATTGAACGCAGTTACATGTTACAAACGTTCCGTTGTTTACAGCCCCTGTTCACCACCACGATTGGTTTAGAATTGGACCAATCAGCGAGCTTAGGTTTAGTATAAGTAGTTTAGTCGTCAACGCGGAAACAGACTAGCGATGGCCCGGCCGATCATAGAAGCTATTCGCTCAGGGGATGTTGCTCTGGCGAAAAAGTTGTTACATTCACAGAAACAAGGATGCTTAGATTGCCAAACATCTCGAAGAGATGGAACTGCATTATTCTGGGCTGCGTGTCGAGGTGTAATAGAACTGGTGGAGTTGCTTCTGACGAGGAACGCGAGCGTGAATGCGTCAACTGGATACGGCGCGACTCCCCTCCACGCTGCTGCTGATGCTGGCCGAGTACAAGTGATCAGGTGAGCAGGTGGATCGATAAGATGTGAGGTGAAATGGGGGTTAACGTCATACTTAGGGACTGTTCATAATTTATGGTTAGGGGGGTGATGATGGTTTTTATGGAGAGCATGTACAATGTGAATGACCCCCCTAAAAGTTATGTCCAAAGTAAGTGACCCCCTCTGCATGCCATGTACAAAATCAATGACCCCCCCCCCCTCCCATAATTTTAAGCATAATTTTAAAATATCTTTTCGTACAAAATTGATGACCCTCTCTAGTACATGTGTACAAAATTTATGACCCCCCTCCTACCTCCCCAGAACAAAATGCGTGACCCCCCGCCCCATCCCCTTAAAATCATCATCACTCCCCTAGCCAAAAATTATGAATGGTCCCTAAGAATGTTTCGTTCATATGACGACGTGCATGCGTGTGTATGTGTGGCTGCTCGTACTAGCCCAGACTTAATCTGGTATTATAGTGCTACCGCTAGCCCACTGAGATACCACGCCGCAGTGAAGCAGGAATACCTCACTCAGATACATCATACTGACTCAGAGCCGACCAGTCCTTGTTGTACCCATCAATGCCGAGCGCAAGCAGGGACCAACAAGTACCATATTTTAACGTCTTTTGGTATGACGCGACCGGGGATCGAACCCGCGACCACTACCTCTCCGGATGGACGCTCTAAGCACTACACCACGGAGGCGGGGGGTCGATAAGAACAGATTCTTCAGTGTCCATGTTGATATCGGCATTGTGTGCAACTAACAATCCAGTTTTTACCATTAATTGTTTTTCACGTAGGTTTCGAATTTTTTATTTCAAACGAACTGATATTATTATTGATCAGATGACAGTGCAAGGTTAATAAAATCACAGGAGTATAAAGCGTTCAGAATTGGAAAACTTGACAGGGGAGCATGGGGAATAATATATTTTTAAAGGAAGGGATAAAGGTAGGTTTACATTAAAAAGAGGCGTCACACACACACACACACACACACACACACACACACACACACACACACACTCACCTTACATCCATTGACATCCTTCTGTTGATGAAATAAATCGTTCAAGATTTAGTATTGAAAAAATTACAGACTGCCTCACTTATAGATGGATAGCACTGTGTACATGTGAATATAAAATATATTTTCGAATTTGTTGGTGGTGTTTTGTTTTATAACGTCTGTTTGTGCAAGTAAATACCCATATGTATATAATGTAGCCAAAGTTTATTCACCGGTCAGCCTGAAGGCCGGCGTGGTTTCCCAAAATTATGGTTTGGTGCCTTTTCTTCAGAAGTCAAATTTAGCCCCTAATAAAAATCCGACCTAGTGTTAAATAGTTGCTCGCTTGGTCCTCTATTTGACCATAACGCTTGTGTGTTGTGACCCGTGTATATAGGTGTATAGCGACATGTCATGCAGTAAGCACACGTGCTCTCGTCTCCCCTCACGGACTTCATGTGATGTCTATATCATGAGGCTGTTGATTGACAGATGTCAGGATACAGCCCGGGGAGATGTGATATATTACATGCCAAGTATAGTGTCAAGGAAACGGTCGCATGTCACCTTGAGAAAAGTGGCTGTTACCGGATGATATCCATTGCTGTGTAATATTGCTGTCTGTACTTTTAGCAGTTAGGTAAACGAACACACACACGCACGCACACACGCACGCACACACACAAACACATTCATATGTATACAAAATACTCTTGCAGATGATGGAGCGGTGGGGTTGCCTAGTGGTTAAAGCGTTCGCTCGTCACGCCGAAGGCTCGGGTTCGATTCCCCACATGGGTACAATGTATGAAGCCCATTTCTGCTGTCCCCCCGCCGTGATATTGCTGGAATATTGCTAAAAGCGGCGTAAAACCCAACTCATTCACTCACTCGCTATATTCATGTTCATCCCTTTGGTAGTTGTGAAACACACGCCACACCGGAGACAGGTTGTAATAAGGAGTTAGGACAATGTTGTTTGCATGTATTTGTTTATAGCAACTGAGCTGTCTTTCTGAGACAATTTTGATTTTCTAATATATTTTGTTCAGTAGATTTTCACACACTACTGATGCACATTGAAACATGAAGACAATTCACATGACTGACTGACTGAGTTTGGTTTTACGCCGCTTTTAGCAATATTCCAGCAACATCACGGCGTGGGACACACATGACCAAAGCAAGGGCGAAATATACTTGAGAAATAACCCCAGCTGTTCCTCTTCACTGGTGTAAACATATTTTCAAATACAATTGTCATGTAATAACTTAACTTCACCTTGAGTTGGCAGTCACATGTAGACAGTGAATGAGTGTTTGTTTGTTGTTTTACGCCGCACTCAGCAATATTCCAGCTATATGGCGGTAATTTGTAAATAATCAAGCCTGGACCAGACAATCCAGTGATCAACATCATGATAATGGATCTACGTATTCGCAACTGGGATACGATGACATGTGTCAGCCAAGTCAGCGAGCTTCACCACCCGATCCCGTTAGTCGCCTCTTATGACAAGCATGGGTTGCTGAAGACCAATTCTAACCCAGATCTTGCAGTTGTCGGGCAAAATTATCTCGGACTTGATTTCTCAAACATGTTCTTGACTTTGTGATGAGGCGAAGGCTAATTGGAGGGGTGGTGGGATCCCGTTAGTCGCCTGTAACTAGAACTAGTTAGAACTAGACCATAGGGACATGTAACGCAAAAAAACCTACCACATGTTGATTGTGGTCAGGTAAACAATATAAGTGTATTTTATTAACTGTTTGTAATTTGTATTTTCGGCAGGTTGCTGGTAAAGTATGGAGCGGATGTGAACTCGTTAACTCAAAGCGGAGACACGCCCTGCCACCTAGCGGCCTACCGCGGAAATAGCCATGCTGTGCAGGTGCTGGTTGAGGAGGGTGCAAATCTGAACTCGCGCAACCGGAAGTGTCATCGGCCTGTGGACGAGGCCGAGGCTAATGGCCATTTCGAGATTGTGGAGTATTTGACAGCGGTCTCTGGCACCTGTAAGTTGATATCCTGACATCCATTTGGTCTGAGGGGCAGTGGGGTAGCCCAGTGGTTAAAGCGTTCGCTTGTCACTTTCAGCCATATTCCAGCAATATCACGGCGGGGGGCACGGGGCTTCGCACATTGTACCTATACGGGGAATCGAAACCGGGCCTTCGGTGTGACGAGCTAACACTAGGCTACCCCTACCAGCCCTTTGATGAAAGAAAATACAGTGTCCATGTTATACAAAACAATAGTCCCAAATAACGCTTAGTCTCTAAATATATATAATGTTGATAGACACAAATAATTCCAATTGAATCAAATGGGAGATTCAGGACTTCGATTCACTTGCTTCGACTAAGTCTTTGCACTGTGGAAAGGACAACGCTGTACGGAAGATCATGCGGTCTAGGGACTGTGTAACAGACTTGTTCGGTCCGCCCATACGGATATTCCTGAGCACACCCTACGAATGACTTCTTTTCCTGTCACTTCTTTGTTTAGTAAACTCATTTCCACCCGACTCATTCGATGACACAAAATAAATATCCCGTATGATTTATTTCAGTTCGCTGTGGAGGCCAGGAACCTGACATGAGTATTCCAGGGTCTCCAGTTCATACCCTCTCTCACCAAAGAGTTCCATTCAGGGTATGTAACTCCTCCCCTGTCTTCCAAACAGACACTGTGTTATCTCCCGCCAAGGGGCACCACCACGTACAGTTTTACCACGCACCTGACGTGTCCAGCCACATCAACATTCCAACTACAACGGACAGTCGGTATTTGGGTCAGTGTCATACAGTGAATGACCTGTCTATTGATACGGACAGTGTAGCCAACTCTTCTCAGATTAGTTATTTTAATATACCCTTATACGACTGAGCAGTGCATTAGATGACCGTCCAGTTATCCCCCTTTAGGAAGTGCGACAGAACGGGGCTGTGGTTTCATATCCGAGTTCGAGGAGTCTGCCAAAACATGTGAAGATTTGCTCTGAATGAAACTTATGCTTGCGAGTGATGCTACGACACTTGAGCCACTTACAACGTCAAGAAAACGTCAACTGACTTTTGCAACGACCTCGGAAACGACGGATCCAGATGAACGAAGTCAGCACAGAAGATATACCTCCTTTCGGAAGATGTGACGGTCAGTGGTGACGGATTGTACAGGTTTATATCATGATGGCAAGAGTAGGTCTCAATCTATCACCTGTCAGAGATCACGGTATCAACTGTCAGAGATTTGGGTATCACAATACTGAGGTCACGGTACTCCCTGGGTGTCAGAGATCGTTGTATTACCTGTTTGAGATCAGGGTAATTCCTGGTTGAAATGGTGTATCACCTGTTTCAGGTACTGATATATCCTGTCTGAAATGGTGTATCACCTGTTTCAGGTACTGATATATCCCTGATATATCCTGTCTGAAATGGTGTATCACCTGTTTCAGGTACTGATATATCCTGTCTGAAATGGTGTATCACCTGTTTCAGGTACTGATATATCCTGTCTGAAATGGTGTATCACCTGTTTCAGGTACTGATATATCCTGTCTGAATTCTTGTTTTGCTGCAGGAGAGTCAGTGTGTAATACTAGTATGCCAAATGCACTTCGCAATTGTTTAGATCTACAGCGAGTCCTGTAATGTATATCTGTTTTAGAGTGTATGTCTTGCTCAATTAATGTGTGTTTTGTATGTGAATATTCTTGTTTTACTTATTGATGGCTGGAGAGATTGAAGGTGTGTGTCGGCTTGTCATTCCTTGGTGTGGTTCTTGACTGCCTCTCATTTATCAGTTAACACATGGACAGAAACCACGTATTGTTAGAAACTACAATGTATTGACGACGTGTTACAATAACATGATATTATGTCTTTTTTATGTATTAATTCCAAACGATCTGAACAGAGTCGAGCTATGTGCATTCTTAGACATGATTTCCAGTTATAGAAATGAATGTCCTATTAGATATTGAAAGATTGTCTTATTGTGTCAATTCACAATATAACGTCAATTATGTATATCCGTTACTTTTCCACAAAATTCTAAATCGCCTTCCTCGAATGAGGGCGGCGGGGTAGCCTAGTGGTTTAAAGCGTTCGTTCGTCACGCCGAAGACCCGGGTTCGATTCCCCCCATGGGTGCAATGTGTGAAGCCCATTTCTGGTGTTCCCCGCCGTGATATTGCTGGAATATTGCTAGAAGCGGCGTAAGACTTACTCACTCACTCCTCGAATGAAATGCTAGCAGACAGAACCGGCTCCGCCATTATACCGAGGTAGTGCCCGGATGGATGATTAAACTGGTTTTACGCCTCTGCCGGGCAAGGCAAACTTGTATTGGTTTTCTTTTCCCTGTCCAGGTTTATTTCAAAATGTATGTGATGTAGTTTGTAGATTTCATTCCATTGTCATGCATTATGTCTTTCCACGACGACTGTCGCTCACTGAATATAGCTCATTAAGAATATTTGCTGCATCAGCCATCGCCTTCCGTATTTTATATAGTGTGCTACTGTGTGTATTGATGGCGGATGGTGTGCCTAGATTCCCAGGATCAACTGAAGTTGCCCTTGTCTTTCAGAGTATTGCTGTTGATGTTTATTAAAGTTGTTGTTATGATGTTGGAGTTTATGTTGTTTGCTTTAACATGAATAAGAAGATGGCGTAGCTTGTACGTCCGTTTATTGGCTGAATATTTCTTCGGTTCATTGGCATGAACCTTAATGAACCAAATTAGGAGTACATAGAGATTATTGTAGCCGTGTCTGTGTTCGCTCGTTAGATTCGGGCGGTGGGGTAGCCTAGTGGTTGAAGCGTTCGCTCGTAACGCCGAAGACACGGGTTCGATTTCCTAGCCTTGTCACAATGTGGTTTTAGGTTCCTCTGTACCATACCCATGGTCACGACTTTCATCAAAGTGGTGGAATATGACTTACGCGTTCCTACAGCTTGACATCAAACTGTCATGCTTATACACCACACAGTTTCATAACTCACTAAATGTACAAGGGGCGGGGAGTAGCCTAGTGGTTACAGCGTTCGCTCGTCACGCCGAAGACCCGGGTTTGATTCCCTACATGGGTACAATGTGTGAAGCCCTTTTCTGGTGTCCCCTGCCGTGGTATTGCTGGAATATAGCTAATGGCGGCGTAAAACTGAGCTCACTCACTCTCTCACTCATCACTCAGGTATACAACCCGCCAGTATACAACCCGCCAGATTCAGTTTGTTCAGGTAACTCACCTGTAGTAATGGTAATCTGTAAATAGTCAAGTCTGGACCAGACAAACCCGAGACAGCATCCATCCATCCTTTGGGGGCACGATGACATGTTTCAGCCTGACCGCCCGATCCCTTTTGTAGCCTCCTGACATACTCGAGAGGCTGAAGATCAATATGCTGTTTACGGTTATACAAACAGAAATGATCTTGGTGACGACGTTACAGATGTTCCTCTAAGATCACGTAGAAGACGGATCCAAGGACGCAGGGCATTTGAAATTTAATAACGTGATAAAACATAACACACGCGACTCCATTTTGGCTGTTTCTAAGTACCATGGCCTTCACAGATCCGCTAGCAGGGAATAAATGGTCAACTTTCTGTCAGGAGCCAGGTCAACTTTCTGTCTCAGCAACTTGCGGGACTTAGATGTTAGCAGGTAACAAAGAAAAACCTGTCACGAATATCGGTTCACTGTGGGACAATACTATGGTGTTCACGAACTTGATTCTCAAGGTTTGTTGGACAGTTGCTAAAACAACCAGGTCGTGGTCACAGTCGTTCTCGTAGTCACAGTCGCGGGCGTATTCGCAGCCGTGTGCGCAGTCGTCTTTGCCTATCGCCTGCGTGTATTCACGTCGACAGCTACGTTTAAGTTCCAAGCGTAGTATAATTCATACTGCTACATCAACCTGTCACGTCTTTGTCTCTTGTCCCAGTACTTCATGTCGTCTGCCGCGCCTGACAAACGCAGACGACAACAAACAGGACAAAGAGATGCTGTGAATCTGAATAACACGAATGTCTTTCTTGACCCTTGAGTGGATGTTCGTATGTAAACAGTGTGAAATCTAACCCTCAGCTGTGATATATCATGTGGAAAATGCGGTTGCGTTACCTCGAAATTTAAGGTATGCGTTACAAGGCGGGGCGGATGAGCTTCAACAATCGCATTTGCTGCTCAGATCGTCTCCAGGATCTAGTGGATATATCGTCTGCCTGGGAATGAAAGGTCGGAGGTTCAATCCCCGGCCGCATCCTACCAAAAGAGGTTAAAGGATGAACATTTTTTGTTACCCTGCCTGGAGCTAGGCATTAAGTGGATTGGTGGGCTCGTAGTCAGTCTACTGAGTGGGGTATTAATGTTGTCTCATTGGACCTGGGCCCCGTTTCACAAAGCTATCGAAGCGCTGCGACTGTCGTACCTCCTGTACTGCAACATAGTGAGTGTGTTTAGTTTTACGCCGCACTCTGCAATATTACAGCTATATTGCGCACTGCAACATAGACTCACGACAGTCGTAGGGCTACGATAGCTTTGCGAAACGGGTCCCTACGTTTTAACACCGGTCCATACTTTCACAAGCAGACAACAAATCAGTTTGACATTGCGACCTCGTGGGGAAGGACAGCACAGAGTTTGGAAGAGTTACCGAATGTAGCTTTACATCACTGTTATTACTAGAGTAAGCGAGTGGGTATGGTTTTACACCACCTTTAGCAATATTCCAGCAATATCACAGCGAGGAACACCAGAATTGGGCTTCAAACGTTGTGCCCATGTGGGGAATCGAACCCAGGTCTTCGGCGTGACGAGCGAAGCTTTAACCTCTAGGCTACCCCACCGCCCCTGTCATGATTATAAATACTTACGCTGTACCGCAAGGGCCACCAAGAAACTCCATTGTGGCGACGTGACGTAATAACGTGACACCAACAGACCTACCTCACCGCCCCTGTCATGATAATAAATACTTACGCTGTACCGCAGGGGCCACCAAGAAACTCCATTGTGGCGACGTGACGTAATAACGTGACACCAACAGACCTACCTCACCTCCCCTGTCATGATAATAAATACTTACGCTGTACCGCAGGGGCCACCAAGAAACTCCATTGTAGCGACGTGACGTACTAACGTGACACCAACAGACCTACCTCACCGTCCCCATACTGGAATAGAGGATGGCGGGGTAGCCTAGTGGTTAAAGGATTCCCTTCTCACGCCGGGGTTCGATTCCCTACGTGGGTACAATATGTGAAGCCCATTTCTGGTGTCTCCCGCCGTGATATTGCTAAAATATTGCTAAAAGCGGCATAAAACCATACTCACCCATAATGGAATTCTGGGCTTTTTTATTATCTATTATAAATCTAATTAAGGAGCCATTTTTCTGTGAAATATGTTCATTTCAGGGATAGATAGTCTTACTCAGCTGTTAGCCAAGCTGTCAAATTGTTCGTAAGGCGCGCCGTATGCCTGGTAGTCTGTCTCACAGTCCCTGAACAACATTTTTTCTCCTACTGCCTAGCCCTCCCTGCAATGCTAAAGCCCTAAATAAAGCAAGTCTAGATTCCCTCAGGTTCAGGATCTGAATCTCTGGTCTCCCTAGGGCTCCTTTTCAATATAAATGGGCTTGTTTGATACTATCAAAATTATATATATTCAGAGACTAAGCCTTAGTCTATATGCCTGGCTTCGATTCCCTGAATGGGCGAAATGTGCGACGTCAATTTCTAGTTTCCCCCGTGACATTGCCAGAATATCTTTATCAACCATCCTTTTTAGAAGTGGGTACGGGTGCGAAGGTGTGAGATGGGGTGAACGTGGTTGTGGGTGTGGTGGCGTTTAACAGCTGCTGGTTCAACACGCACATACTATTACGGTAACACAATTGGGCGCATAGAGAAATGATCAGACTTCATCAGGGCTTGAGTAAGAGAAATCGATTATGGCTAACCATTAGAAAACGTCAATGGGCACGTATGTTTATAAATACTTTCACATGCTTAAAAGAAGAAACATTTACGTGATCAAACACCAGTACCGTTCAAATCTCCCATTTCACCCGTATTCAAATTTAACGATTCATGTCGGCCAAAAATATTCATGATCTTTTAACCCATTTCGAAATAAAACCGCACGTCATTGATATAATCTTTGATTCAATTTGAAAAGTCCATATGCAAAGACAGCATGAAACAAGTCGTGAATGGAAACGGATGGCTTTGCGGTTGAAGTCGTCGTTCTTGAATCTCTCCCCCGCGGTTTTTGACTGGAACACTGTTAAAAGCGATACCATATCCATTCAAGACAAGAAATAAACAAACAATACCCCCACATGTCTACGGAGTTATTGTATATGTGGGAAGAACAGTGCGGTAATGTGTTCCCTACAGGACTTTGAAACAGGATATATAGGTGCAGGATCTTAATTGTCAGTACCTCGTGTTGCTACACCTCCAATGAGAAGTCGTTGATCTCCTGGATACAGAGAAATCGTTGGTTGGTTGGCTGGTTGTGAAACGCCATGGTTGATTGGCTGGTTGTGAAACGCCAGGGGTGATTGGCTGGTTGTGATAAGGAATGGTTTTGTATCGATCACAGATCACACAGGCTTTCTTCTGCTCATACAGGGGAGTAGTTGCTTTGTAATGTCGCATTGCTTGGTAGTACAGACGTCGTGCGATCGCCTCAGTGTAGGCGTGAGGGTAAATAAAGTCCCTTGAAATGTTTAAGGAATTCGGGAAAAGAATGTCTAGTGTCTTGGATTGGGGACGGTGGCGTATCCTTGTGATTATGTGTACGCTCGTCACGTCAAAAGGCCCGGGTTTGTTTGTCGGTTAATTGGTTGGTTGGTTTGGTTGGTTGGGTGGGTGGGTGGGTGGGTTGGTTGGTTGGATTGGCTGGTTGGTTGGTTGGTTGGTTGTTTGGTTGGTTGGTTGGTTGGTTTGGCTGGCTGGTTGGTTGGTTGGTTGGTTTGGCTGGCTGGTTGGTTGGTTTGGTTGGTTGGTTGGTTTGGCTGGTTGTTGGTTGGTTGATTGGTTGGTTGGTTAGTTGGTGGGCTGGTTGGTTGGTTTGGTTGGTTGGTTTGGCTGGCTGGTTGGTTGCTTCTCCGTTGGGTGGGTGGGTGGGTGAGTGAGTGAGTGAGTGGGTGTATCACATCAGAGTGTACCAGATTGAATATTATGTAGCCTAGGTCGTTTATAAGCTTGTTGATTCTAACGACTTCACAAGAAGAAAATCCAGACCCACATCATTTTGTCTTAACATTTTTTACGTATAGTATTGTATGCTGGGCATAGTAGAAGAAAATGATATTCGTCTTTTAGGTATAACAGTATTATACAACATCTACAGATTCTTTACTCTCTTTTGATATTCATAAACCTACCTTTTTCAATTAATATGTGTTAATTGCCCAGGTACTGACAACACTCCGCAGTTATTGGCTTCTACATCCGCCGGCACGATCGTAATCGACATTACATAGTGAACCTCTTTACACTTTTAATGACGCATGTCCATTCAACAAGGATTGTGCATTAATATACCAGGAAATGGCACACACACAAATCAAAATTCAAGTGAATTTTCTCAGACATGTCACTACCT